AAATCGTTATTACATCCTGTATTTCAACGAAAATGGCCGATTCGATGGAAACGAATGGGAGGAGAAAGAATAAATAAATAAATAAATAAAATCGAAGGGGGAGAGAGTGCGCGTGCGGTATAAATCTCTCTTGTATTTACGAGCGGGGGTATATATTTACGCGTTCATTTGCTCGGGGCAGTGGTTTGCAGCGCAGAGAGCAGGAAGCCGCTCGGTTCGTCGAGGGCAGTGAGAGAGTAAGGGGTTCGTTCGGTTGGCTTCGGGGCGTAAACGCAAATTTGAAAATTCCCCCCTTCTCCCCCCCTTCCTGGTTTCCTGGCGCAAACGACACTTCCTCGTTCATTAACGGCGACCGTGTCGCGGCGTTCGACTTAATCTACGCGTGTATACAAAAACCGAGGGCGCAAAAACCGATAGATCGTGCAGCGAGACGGACGAGAGTGAGAGTGAAAGAGAGAGGGAAGGAGGAAGAGGGAGGAAGAAGGAGAGTGTATAGAGATAACGGTATTTAGCCGTTGGCAATATACGAGCGACTCGCATAAATTTGGACGATCAGTTTTTGGGCGGCCGACACCGAGGCGAGGCTTCTCGTGGCCCCCGCTTTTTCGAAGATTTTTCAAAGGGAAATATACGAGATTGGATCGATTTTTGTCTGGCTCTAACTTCTTTTCGCGACGTCTCGTTCAAACAGATTTTTTTCACTATAGTATTCCCATTGTTTCATCCCCTTTTTCGTCAACTTTTGGAATTTAATTTTACGCAGCTTTGGTCGATTCGCATGCGATTCTGATCTTGAACGTTGGGAATATTTGGAATCTTTAGATCATTGATGCAAATTGTTACCAATATCACTGAAAAGGAAAAGAAATTTTTTTACGGTAATCGTAGATGCTTTTCAAACGTACTTTGGAAAAATATATTATATATTTTATTTCACTGTGATATGTTCAAATCGTCGTTCGAAATACAGTTTTCAAAGATTGAAAGACATAAAAAAAAAAAAAAGACATTAATTTGATTAATAAAAACATTAATAATTACGTTTCAGAATGTATTCTTCTCCTATGTTAAGAGAACTCTTCTCGAATCGTTTTCTCGAATAGCTACCGTATTCTTCAGCTTTACTGCCTCTTTAGAAAAGCCTCTGATACCTCGCTCCTATTCTCTTCTCCCGCGAAATCCGCGAATCCGGAAGTAAAGCTGCATTTTCTCCCGTGCACGTTAAGATTTTTCTTCATCTAGCTCCGCG